AATGACGTGTATGCATATATAACAAAGAAATCGTATTCAGCCTAACTCGGGGTTTTTTCTTAAGAAAACAAGAGGACATTTTGGGATTAACGAATTTAAATTAATGCACATATTTAGCTTCAGCTTTACCTTTTATCTATATATTAGCATGCCATGATATAAGAAATGTTCTGGAATTTCATCTTTTCTTGACTTTTTTGTATAAAACAAAGAAGCGAATTACTCTATTGATGTCGTGTTAAAGAGAAATATTTCATAAAAAGTATAAAATTTTAGGAAAATATACCATGTCATTTACCCATATCACATAACAGATACTGATCCCTAATCCTAACACTAAAACATTGATATGAAATGGGATGGGAATTTAACTATGATAAAGTGTACTTTTAAAAGTTTTCCTCTGAAATAGTACAGCTATCTATATATTTTCTTTAATCACCGGAGAAAGTGTACAATTTCTCTTTGTATATGTTTTTTTTTTTAAATTTAGAATAAAATGTTTATATTAAGAAAATAAATTCATCATGTCAATTTAATATCCCGTCACTTTCAAAATAGTTAACGTTCTTTATAAGGTAATTAAGATTCATGTAAGAAGGAACTCGATACACTCGAGAGGCCTTTAATCAGCGTTTCTTTGCGTTGACCTTATGTTGTCTTAGGTCCCTTGATCTGGGTAGGGAATACAGCAGCGAAATGACAAATATAAAATCATAATCTATAAACACAAACACAATAATTTTTAAATTGAGAGGATTGAGAGAGACATAAATGCATACAATTAAATGCTTACGCACATACCATTTTAGACATTTACTCCATTAAGATTGCTGCGTTCTCAATTAAAAATGAAATAATAATAATTTGTTAAATGTGCAAAATTTCATACATTTATATGAAATATTTCAATCCTTAAAAAATGTCCACTAATATTCACATGCTACAATTATTTGTAATGAATGATTCAATTTAAATTGGATCAATTTGTATGACAAAGTAATTTATTTTATAATATTTTTAAACAACGGAATATTAAAACGTATTTGATAAAAACAACAATAACAACCGATTACTTGTTTGCAAGTCAGAAAGAAGAAAAAGCTGAATTCAAAATATTCAAATGTTATACACGGGCAGGACACATGGTATTCGAGCTGTGAATATTACCTGGTAAGATGGAAAACGTATTGAATAAATAGTTGGTGTTTACCAATTTTTTTTTGACACTTTTCCTTTAACTGCTGCAGATTCTGTCTTGATCTTCTGTGATTATCGATTATACTTAGGTGTTTTTAGATCACAAACGCAATTCATTAGTGTAATTGTTTTTATTTACATTTCATCATATACTAGGCTATGTACACATGTGCTGCGATTCTCTCTTACTTCAAAATCACATGCTATTAAAGATCATTTAGGTTTGAACAAAGTATGTACTGCATAGATCATTATCTATATATTTATAGATTAAATGTAACTCCTCATTTACAAAATAAACACAATAATTGTGTTGGACATGGACATGCACATGGACTTTTGGTCAAAGTCAACTCTTAATGTACATATGATATACTGACTGTGACTATGCTTTATTTAATAAGAAAATAATTGTATGTGTGTTGGATGTATGATTGTGAGTTGTTTGTGTATTGCTATTGTGATATCATATGAGTTCATCCCTTTTTTGTTTATCATGTTGGAGTTATCTCCCCTGATTGTTTAATTAATATTACTCTTTGTACATATACATATGATTTTTCATTTAAAGGTATCCTTAAATTAATTAATCATTATTGTCGTTACTACATTGTATATATATTCGATCAAATTTTGAGCCACTGATGGAAAGAATTGATATAGGCTTGCCTGTTATTCAATCCATTTGACTATTACATCTGTCAAAAAAAATTGTTGAAATGAAATTGTGTTGGGTATAAATACCTATGATAGCTAAATACATAACCTGTAATGGGCCAGCATTTTCTATCTCAATTTGTCACGTAAGGATATCAAACCCATATCACCTCTTGCATAATTAAACAATGTAGTATTCTAAGGTATTTTCACCTTGATTATTGAGACAAAGTTACCTACCAAACCTAACTCACTTCTGGTCTACAAGCAGCAGCTTCACAATCACTGAACATAAACAACGATTTCACATGCGAATGGGTATGGAACGTATGTTAAAAATAACGATATGATATCCCTTGCCCAAATATCATCAACTTTCCTCTAGTACATAATTAAGTTATGTGGCAACAGGCTCATGATAGCCGATACACAATTGATCGCTAAACGCTACATTTAGAGTTCAATTTGACAAAAGTTTTCAAATATATTGACATAGTTTATGTGTAGTAAAAATAATATTGGAAAAGTAAATTTATGACATAAGAAATCACATCAAGTCTGGTATCCATGAATAGTGTAAACGTTAACCGAATAAATAACTGCTATGGTACCAAGATGCTTTCTAACGCAGTACTTTGATAATGTAAAAGGCTGTTCCTGCTTCACATAACACTTGTTTTGTAATTGATACTCAGAGAGTATCAGGTCATACTTATTACTGGGCATGAGCTACGTGTTTCTGCTTCTCAGAGCGTATATCTATTTTTTACAGAATTATTTGTTAGTCGTGCCAATCACAGGGCAGGTTTACAATGGGATAGGGATACATTTACACTTTTGGGGATTGACTTTAGCGTTAATTTACATGAAATACCTAAATTAAACTTTGACAAAAAATTGATTAAACTTAAACCTCTAGTTAAGTCATGGAGTAGAAGACGATTAACTCCTATTGAGAAAATACATGTAATTAAATCATTATTAATTTCACAATTTAATCACTTGTTCATTTCACTACCCAACCCAAGCATTACTTTTATTAATAAGCTAAATACTGTTATATATAACTTTCTTTGGAATAGCAAAACAGACAAAGTGAAAAGAAATGTTATAACTAAAGCTTATTTTGAAGGTGGTCTGAAAATGGTCAACATCAAATCTTTTAAAGATGCTTAAAACTAGGACCGTTAAAGAGATTTTTTCAAAGTACATGTTCTAGAAAGTGGCAAGTTATACTTATGAATATTATTAATGTTGATTTTATTATGAATTGTGGAAATAATTACCTACGTATGTGTCATAGGAGATGCAAAAATATGTTTTGGTGTGATGTTTTCAAATCTTGGGAAAGATTATTAAATTTTGATATACCAAAGGGCAGACAACTCTCTATACTGAAAACCCCCTTATGGCATAACCCACATATAACTATTGGTGGAAACTCTGTCTTTTGCAATAACTGGTATGCTAAGGTTGTTAGAGTGATAAATGATATATTGAAAAATACAAATCCTGTTACTTTCTATTCCTACCATGAATTAACACAGAAACATAATATATTTACAAACTTTCTTCACTTCTATGGTCTTGTCAAATCTGTTAAATTAATTATTGATACACAAAGGATCCAGGATATAAAACTTCTGCTTCCTTTCATTCCTTTAAAGATAGAACCAATTTTGATAAGACTCCAGGAACATAATATTTATATAAAATGGGCAGATCAATTTGACTTTGATAATTCTAATTGGGCAAATATTTTTTCTCTACCTTTCAAAATAACAAACGATTCAAAACTTCAATGGTTTCTGTTTAGAATTTTACATAATATTTTAACAACAAATTCACTACTATTTAAGGCAAACATAGTTGTAAGTCCACTTTGCACTTTTTGTAAATCAGAGTCAGAAACCATAACCATAACTTTTGAGGATGTCAAAAAGTTCAAAATTTACTGCAGAGCTTGGAAAAACTCTAGGACGCACTTTTGATACCTTTTACTATTAATAAAGAATCATTAATTTTTGGGTTCTGGTCAATTAGAAATGAGTTCAGTAAAATTGATAATGAAATTAACATCATCATTAAACATTACATTTACAAAACTAGATGTCTTGAAACCACATTTAACATTAATTCTCTTATCATCTTATTGAAAGACCACCACAATGTCAAAAAATACATAGCAACCGTTAAAGGTGATGCTTCTCTTGAAAGTTTTAACAGAGAGTTGGGAAAATGGAAAAAAGTTTTACTTATTTAGACTTAAATTGAAATGATTTCTATATCTATACCCATTCATATCTATTAATGGACTCTTGAACTCTGACAGTTGGTTAATATAAAACTTTTATAATTGTTTTGAATAGATATTACTATCTTTGAGCAAATGTTGCCAATAAAACAATTGTCGATGATTTAATTTCAACTTTTTGATTTTTGGAAGGCCTGTCTCTCTCAAATCTGTCGTTCTTGTCTTTGTGTCGATTGACTTTGTGCGTATATGTCTGTGTGTTTGTCTTTGTATGTCTGTCTATCTGGCAGTTCTTGCCTGTGTCTTGTTTATCTTTGCCTCTGTGTGCATGTCTACTTTTGTTTTGTCTATCTTTGTTTTTCCAGTAATTATCTGTCTGTCTCTATTTCTTTCTTTCAATAAAACCACAACACATGACTTATATAATTAGTTTTTATTCCAATATTTTGAAATGACATCTTAGATAGATTTATAACATATGCGCTAATAAATATATACTATCATACTAAGGTAGTTGGTTGGGTATAATATATTGAATGATCGTGTGAGAGCTATTCATATACATTTTTTAAATGTACATCATGTATTGAGATGAATATTTGTACAGAACTTGTGTATATGAAATGTTTAATTATGAATGTTTCTATACAGATGTACGGTGTATATGACATCTTTAATTATGAATGTTCCATACAGTTGTATGGTGTGTATGAATTGTTTGATATGAATGTTTCTATACAGATGTATGGCATGTATGAACTATTTAAGATAAATGTTCCATACTGTTGTATGAATGTTTCTGCACAATTGCATGATGTGTATGAAATGTTTAATATGAATGTTACATACAATTGTATGGTGTGAATGAAATGTTTAATACAAGGGTTTCTATACGGATGTATGATGTGTATGATTTTTTTATATAACTGTTCTTTACAGGTGTATGAAATATTTGATATGCATGTTCTATACACATCTATGGTGTGTATGAGTATATATGAAATGTTTTAAATAAATGTCATAAATTAGCATGCACTGTTATGATCATGACAGTACACACGATCAGTAAGTCAGATTAATATTCTCTACAGACCCAATATTTAGAAAACTGGGTATATGAAATGAGTATGGTTAACATGAAAAGTGTATATAATGTTTGGGATGAGTGTACTGTGAAGTATGCTATAGTCTCCCAAATAATATTGTCATGTGTATGTGCTTTGAAAAACTGAATAAAAATATAAATTAAAAAAAAAAAACAGAAAAAAACGTTCCAATCACAGACTATTTGAGTGATTTTGAGAGTATTAATTATCGGGAAGATAAGCCGGGTTACATATTGCATTTCCTTCTTTACTTTGGTATATAACACGTCTATTTGTTGACATAGGTTTGTTTGGTCCTATCAGGGACAAGACGACTGGTAACAAAAACATGCCATGGAAGAAACCAAAAAGGATGACAAGCAACATCACTCTAAAGAAGGATATGAAAACGTAGGACTCTGAAAATATCAGCATCACGATCCCTACAATAGAGGACGCTGCACTGTTGAAAACCGGTCCTGCAGTTAGGTCTAGGGCTTTACCCACTCTTGCATTTTTATCGGGACCCTCTGACGTTAGAAAGGCGTGGCAGATATGAGCACTGTAATCTACTGAGAAGCCAACACTCATGATAACATGGATCATGGTTATAGAACTAAGAGACAGGTCCCAAAAATACATGAAACCCAGCACACCGGCAATGATTGAGGCGAGAGAGATTGAAACGCAAAGTATGAGGAAAGGTTTTGGCATTATTATACATGCGACAACAAACACGGCGGCTACAGCTATTCCTACTGTCTGAATGGTACTCGGTAAGACAATGACATACTGTTCAAAGAATATAAACGCTGGGGAATAAGCAAAACAATGTATGTCGGAAGAATGTGCTATTTCACGCATGCGCATCATGATGTTGCCTTGTTTGGAGGATTCTTTTATACTTTTTGTTAGGATATGGAATCGGGTTGCTACAATCTTATCATGATTGAAAACGACATCGTTTCTGAATAACTGTGATTCGTTAAGAAAGAGTTTCAGTCCATTTACAAATGCTTTCTCTGAAGTATTGGCAAAGACAGAAGAATGTTTGTACGAATTCAGCCAATTCAATTGATCTGCATCCTCAACATCAACGTCTTTCGCAGCATTCTCAAGGAGGAAATCTATACCGCTGGTTACAGCGCGTGAGTTGTAATCGAGAGGAACAGGAATAACGAAGGATATTGGGAACTGTGTGGGATAATATTCAAAGTCAAAATGACTAAATTTGAAATAATACGAGCTTTCCGAAACCAAATTCTGCAAAACTAAACCTTGTTGTAAATTTTTAATACCCCAGACTGAACAAACAATGTAGGTTACATATCCTAGTACAGTTATGACCTTTGCTAGAGGGTTTAACAATAATCGAGGCATCAATAGACGAGGGATCTTCTCTAGCATACTTTCTTGTTCGTCTCGAGTTGTAGAAGGAGACCCTGTGCAACAGCACTGTTTTAAGTAGGATTTTGTTTGTTCACCTTCCGGATATGCCAACGGAGCACACGTCAGACAATGTCTATTTTGGGAAACTCGTTTTTCATGAAGAACCATGCATCCGAGGAAGAATGTGATTTGGTTGAAATAGCAAAGGCCCACAGCAGTCGCTGGAAAAATAAACATGATAAAATATGTCAGTTTTGAAAATATGTGTTTGTATTTCATTACATTTAAAAAAAAAATGATAACCTTTGTTTGCTAACGCGAGGGTACCTTTTCCCCTTCATTACTCTGAAATCATATAACAGCAAAATTACATACTATACATTATTTAACGTGTTGTGTATACTTATAATACATGATATTTTAATAGTTAAACAATAAAACGGCATTAACTATTTTACACAGAAATTGTGTTTCCACTTGATTTTCCATGACAAAAAAATCAAAGGTAATTTAGCGTGTTAAATGGTTTAATTTAATGAATATGTTTTGTAACTAAAAAGCAAAACAATGGAATGGTATTACTCTTTTTATCACAAAAGTTCAGTTTCTCCTTCAGTTGGGTTTGCTTGGATTTTTGAAGTATATAATGTAGGTTTTATTTCAAAAAATATATCATGTTGTTAAGGCGGACTCAGTTTCAATATTTCTTTAAAACTTTGGGAATTCAGAAAAAAAAAAGGTAATTTTAATCTCACTCACTCTAAGTAAAACACAAATCCAAGTACCTGTAAACATGCAGAAGTTTCTGACACTTTTGAAGACCGATGTGATTCCCACGAAAAATGCGATGACATTGGTAAGTGATGTGATTGTTATTGAGGTTCCACTTGTTTTCATGACGTGGGCGATTTTGGCCTCTATCGCCGCTGTTGGATCAGCGTCTGCCAGTCCAGACATCATGATAAACATATCGTCTAAACCAATACCTGAAATGATACACTCAACGCTTAAAATAAAGGCAATGGATAACAAACCTAGCTACTACAACTCCCCGGATATATATAGTTTGCATACATTCAGTTTATCTTGTATACACATACTGTGGTTTTCCGTATTTATATAATGTAAGATTTTGACGACATTTTCGTTAAGTTTATTTTATATTTACCTATAATCAGGAATGGCATCACCCCAACAATATTGACGAATTCGATATGTAATGCAGCCATAAGTCCAAACGATCCCAGTATTGCTAAGCCTGCTGAAATGACTCCTGCACGCCCCAGATGGCCCCGTTGTGATACACAGTTTCCTCCTGCTGTAGCAAATGATGCGTAGGTGATCATCAATGTGAAGGTCAGAGAGAAATAGCGTACATCTCCTCCTGTGTTAGCATTGAGTTCAGTATTTAATGAATCGGATACCTGGTAGGCTATTTCAGAATCGTTGAGTTCGATATTTCGCATGATTTCTAAAAAATGTTTCTCCCATTTTTCAGATAATTCTTTGAAGTGACTTGAATCCTGTCGTAAGTTGAATCGAAGTTTGAAAGCAACTGCAGATTTCAGAGTGCCATTTCCGAACAATGGGCTTCCGATGACACTGGTGAATTTGTTTGCTTTTAACATAGTTTCATTAATAAATCCATTTTCAAATCTGTCCCAGAATGCTGTTTCTAAGAGGAAGTCGCCATCTATTACACATTTTCCACTTCGTCTAGCACAAACAGTTTCATATTGATATCGGCTGTTGGCAGTTTCATTCACGGTGAAGTCATAGACAAAGTTCACAACGCGTTTTATTTCTAGTTGATATGATCTGTTCAGAACATTGCCGTTTTCAAAATGTTTAATAATAACTTCTCCGAAGGGTCCTAAGCTTGCCATACTTTGTTGATGATAATTTGTTGCTGTGAAATCAGAAAATAGAGACTCGACTTGGTTTCGGTCTTGAACAGCCTGGCTGTTTGTCGGAGTGTACACACTTTCTAGGTCAGAATCAAATGTTATCCACTGGATGTTAACCCCCAAAAGTCCGTTGAGAAGGAAACATATAATGATTGCAGTGCATGGGTATCTTGTTAAAACTTTTCCATAAATGGCAAACATCTTTGAGGTCCCGTTTTCCAGTTTGACCGAAAATCCCATTGTTTTGGATAGCTGTAAGACAACAATCGATTGCAATTGAAAAAGTATATCCAGTAAAACCATTTCTACATCATCGAACACCACAAGACATGAACAATAGTTGCATAAAGCCCGAATCCATCAACCAGTGTAATTCAAAAAAGCCTAAATGTCCATAACAAACATGTTTTTTTGTGGTAAGCATTAGGGATTTAGTATTGTTAAAATGAAGTATTGTAAACAATATACTGTAATGTGTCTTCTTAGTGTTTACTTGAAAATCAATTATTAAATGAAGATGAAAAGAAAAAAACTGTATCACAGAACAAACGATACAGGTCCTGAAAAAAGGTCAGCAAGTTTGGGTGTAAATAAGTGTAGTACAGTGTTATCATTTTTAAATACCATTCGAAACAAAATATCAATTTGTTCACCGTAATAATCCATTTTCGTGACGTACTTCCGGAAAAAGTACAGCTCGGACTCAATTATCTTGATCGAAATGTGCATGTACACCGTGTCGTCATTTCCGTATTGCGTATCGGGCATTCAATATCGTAGTGCAAATTATAGTAACACCTGGGCCGTTTTCGTTTAAACGGTCAAACCGATCGGACCACTGTTGTTCGTTAATTAAATAAGGTCGGACCTAGTAATCTGATGCTGCTTTCAGGCGAGCCTTGAGAAAGCCTTGCAAGGCCTGCATACACATTTGCAGGTCCGCCAGGATTTATACCCGAAATTGTTACATTTATAAACGGTCAAACCG